AGCAGGTACATGATAGCCTTGGCAGCGAGTTGAAAACTGAAGAAGAGCTTAGATGGAAGATGATTTACGTTCTGCTCAAGCAACTGAATAAGAAATTGGAGTCCTGAAAGAGAATTGGGCCAGGAACCGCCCATGAAGTGTTCCCATAGAGATGCCGAATACACACACTCGAAAAACAAATGATCGTGATTTTCGGGCGCTGAAGAACATAACACACAAAGGCCTGAGACGTTAAGTCCCCAACTCCGCAATCTGTCCTTTGTCGGGAGGCATCTCAGAAAGATCAACCAGGTAATAAAGGAGCATCGAGGGATGCTTTCCTTAAACCATACGAACTTGTGCCATGGAACAGAGGGTGAGTGTGTCCGAATCTGTTCCCAAGTCGATTTAGATGAGAATTTCGAAGCAAAGTTTCCTGCTGAGTTACGCCATAAAAAAACATCCTCACCGCGAGCTGAATTCAGCGGAGTAACTGCGGAGAGCAGAGTTTGCAGAGTTTGCGATTGCTCTGATCGAGCACTGGGGAAAAACCAATCTCCATCTTTAGTCGCCTCGGAAACAGTGGCCTGAAGCTGGATACACAGTTGCCTTGGACCAGACAAACCAAAGAAATGGATCAAAGGACTCAAGTCATTCCAATTATCCGACCAGAAAGAAGCTTTAACACCATTACGCACTTCACAGCGGAGGAAGTTACGAAGCATATGTTTGTGCTGCAACATGCTTCTAACAGTTCTCGAAAATCTATTGGCATCCTCGGTTTGCCAATAATCCTTCCTGTGGAAAATGTGAGCACGCAGCCAGGCTACCCATAAGGAACCTGCATTAGAAAAGAAATTCCAGACCTGTTTAAGCTTGAAAACCAGCACAAAGTCCTCTAAACGCCGAATTCGAAGGCCGCCCTCATACTTAGGTCTACACACATCCGACCATGCCACTCGAGCACCTACAGCAGATCCAGTCTTGTTTTTCCACAAGAAAGCCGAGCACAAAGAGTCGACCTTAGCGTAGAAGCTCTTAGGCAGTACAAAGACAGAGCTCCAAAAATTCACCATCCCGTAAATCACAGAGGCAATCAACCTGATCTTACCAGAGAGAGAGAGCATTTTGACGGTCCAAGAGTGGAGTTTAGAGGTGATGCGCTCTATAAAAGGCTGAAGAGTCGCTAGAGTGATATGGCTTGGGTTTAGAGGAAGCCCCAGATACCGAGATGGGAAGATACCAAGCTTGAATCCAGAGAAACTGTTGAGTGTCTCAACTTTAACTTCGCTATATCCTCCGAAGAAAATCTCTGTCTTCTCGACGTTCATATCCAATCCACAGATATCCTTAAACTCACGCATAACATCAATAATACCAGAGAGAGATTCCTGCGAGCTGTCAGAAAAGACCAAAAGGTCGTCCGCGAATAGAAGGTGCGTAACTCGAGGATTGTCACATTGCGGATTCAGCTTCAAGGTTCCATTATCAGCTGCATTTTCAAGCAGCTTGGACAACACTTCCATTACCATGATGAAGAGATATGGGGAGATAGCATCTCCCTGTCTGAGCCCTTTTCTTCCTTCAAAGAATCCCGCAAGCTCACCGTTAATGGCGACAGAGAACCTTGGCGAGGAGATGCATTCGTGGATCCAAGTTCTAAAAAGCGGTGGAAAACCTTGTGCCTCCAAAATCTTAAGAATAAAGTCCCAGCACACGGTATCAAAAGCTTTCCGGATATCGACTTTGAGCATACAACTTTTCGGGCAGGCGTTTTTCTGATAATGACGGATAAGCTCAGAGGCGAGCAACACATTTTCCCCTAAACTACGCCCTTTTAGAAATGCGGCTTGGTTAGGGCTTATACACTCAAGGAGGACTGGCTATAACCTGTTAGCGATAATCTTTGCAATCACTTTATAGATGGAGTTGCAACAGCTAATAGGCCTGTAATCCTTTAGATGACACGCTTCTGAGGATTTAGGGATGAGAGCAATGGTTGTGTTTTTCATGTCCTTTAAGATTCTACCATTTCTAAAAAACTCGGACACAGCTGATACAACATCGGTCCCGACGATATCCCATGAGGCCCTGAAGAACTCGATCGAATAACCATCCGGGCCTGGACATTTACTGAGCGGCATAGAGAAAACCGTTGCTTTAATCTCGTCAGCCAAAACCTCCTTCAGTAGAGACGTAGATTGATCCTCAGAGCATCAGAAGGAAAGAAGAGCCTGCAACTGAGAAACAGAGACCGAAGAGGTAGGCATATCAGTGGAGCCAAGATTCCCCTGAAAGTACTCTGCGGCGTGTGCTTTGATATCAACTGCGGAACTCAGCATTCTGTCATTACTATCCCGAAGAAAATGTATATGGTTTCTGGTCGCCCGCTGTGCAACAGTTCGGTGGAAATAAGCAGTATTCCTGTCCCCGAGATCAAGCCATCTCACCCGGGATCTTTGCCGATAGAACTTTTCTTCAGCTTTAATCAGAGTACTCCATTCTTTACGAACATAGTGTTCTTCCGCAGCAGTTTCAGGGTTGGGAGAGGTTAGAAGTTGTCTCTGCAATTCAGCAAGCTTAGCCGCTTTGTCCTTCACCCTTGCGGAGATACCACTGTAATGCCTTTTATTGAGATCACGCAATACACTCTTAAGGCATTTCAGAGACCGTACCAGCTTGAACTGAGCAGACCCAACAATCTCACTGCATTTCCAGCATTCACGAATGGAACTATCGTAGAGGGGGTGATCAATAACATGATGGAAGAATTTGAACGGCTTACGAGTCTGCCATTGAAGAGATGGAACTCGAAAAAGACAGGCAGCATGATCAGACTGGTCCAGTTCCAAAAAATCTGCATAAGAATCAGGATAGAAAGTTGCCCAGGCCTGATTGATGAATCCATGATCGATTTTTTTGGCGATGGGATTAGAGTCTTGGTTGTTCCACCAAGAATACAGAAGACCTTTAGATTGAGCTTCAAACAGATCAGCTTCCTGGATAGCCATGTTGAAATCGTCAATCCCAGAGATATCAACTTCCTCAGTCAAATGTTTAGAGTGTTGAGATGATCTTAGAATCTGGTTAAAGTCGCCAATAACTGCCCATGGACATCTAGCAGCAGGCGTAGAAGCATTGATACCCATAAGCTCCTCCCAAAGTCCTCAACTTGATTAAAACCATATATAAAAGTTACCGTGAGACTGAGATTCTCTGCCGGAATGAAAACCCCACATGTTATAGCTTGGGCAGAAATCTGGTAGACGAAAACAGAGATAGCCGGATCCCATACAAGAACAAGCTGCGCAGTGTCATGATAGTCGAAATTCCCGAAATACCTCCAACCCACTGGAATGG